CTAGGCCTGGGTGCACCTCCCCTGGGGCCTACAGGCGTCCTGGTGAAGGAGGTGACCCGGTCCCTGCTCAGAAAAATGGAAGCAAATAAATTGTTAAATAGGTTAGATTTGTCATCTGGTGTGATGACCAGATTTCCTAGCGTGTCTTGCAGAGGCCCCACGTTACCCAGTACCTTCTTTTTGCCCCCTATGTATTTAAAAAAGGACTTCTTGTTGTCCTTGATCTGGGAAGCTAGTCCCAGTCCCATCTCTGTCTTGGCCTTCCTGACCGCCCCCCTGCATCCCCGAGTAACCGAGGTATAGTCCTCCCTGGTGATGGCCCCTCCCTTCCATTGGGTGTGTGCCTCCCTTTTAGCTAGGAGACATTCCCGGATGCTTTTGGTGAGCCATGGGGGCTTTTGTGCCCTCTTGCCCCCTTTGATCCACGTTGGGATTACCTCCCTTTGGGCTTGGAGGATCATCTCCTTAAGGAATGACCACTCAGCTTGGACATCCAATTCCTCTCCCCTCTGGGACCTCAGTGCCTCCCCGACTATTCTCCTTATCTCACTGAAGTCCGCCCTCCTAAGTCCAGGGCTGCTGCCTTGCTGCAGGCCTTTGCCACCTTGTGCTGGATGGTGAATTCCAGCAAGCGATGATCACTGTCGCCCAGGTGGTCGATCACCCGCAGCCCCCTCAACAGGTTGTCACCTGTGGCCAGCACCAGGTCCAATGGGGCATCTCCCCTGGTGGGGCCGTGCACCTCCTGGGTTAGGTGGAGGTCCTGTATCTTGGCTAGGAACCTATGTGAGTGGTCAGACCTGGCTGACTGCTCTTCCCAGCAGATACCTGGAAAGTTCAGGTCACCCATGATGACCATGTCCTTTGACCTAACTACCTCCGTGAGCTGACTTAAGAATTCCTGGTCTAGCTCTTCCCCTTGGTTGGGTGGTCTGTAGTAGACCTCCACTATTAAGTCCCTTTCCCCTTGACTGCCTTGTATTCTAACCCAGAGCACTTCGGTGTGCCCCTCCTCTGACTCTGTGCTACTTGTTGAGGATGTATATTACTCTTTGATGTAGAGTGCCACACCTCCACCTTTCCTCCCTGTCCTATCCCTCCTGTACAGCCTATAGCTCTTGATATTCACCACCCAGTCGTGCGTAGGAGGAACCTCACAGAATTTACAGCCTGAGGGGAAAAGAGGGTTTTTTTTAGTGTTTCTTAATCATCTTAGTTCCCTGTCAGTCCTAGACTGCTTCAGGGCAGAGAAAGGCTGTGGGGACCTAGACCCCAGGAGCATATTTGGCCTGCCCAGGTTCTCCACAGTGATATGACCTGTAGCATCACCCCCAGCACAGCCTCCTCACCCCTACTCTATTCTTGACAAACCTCCTAAACCAGAGCTAAGAAGAGAGTCCTCATAAGAAACCGAAGGACTGTAGTCCTGTCAGTCGCAGTACCTGCATCGGGAGGAACTCTCCATGCTGGAATTAGAGCTCTTAGCACTCCTTGTGCTTCTACAGCCTTTTTGCAAGTAGAAGGGATCTACAACAGACATAAGCAACCCTCAACACGGATGCCAGTGTGGCACACAAAGGCATTTTGCTTGGCACGCGTGTCTCTGGGCGGATGGTGGGGAAGGGCTAGGTCTGTGCTGCCACAAAAAGGATCAAACCCCTTGTGGTTCCTATGCCATCAATCCCTAGCACACCAACATTTTACAAGTCGAGGTTGCAGGTGTTTTTGGCACTCTTCCCAAAAATGTTGCCAACCCCTAATCTACAACATGAGAGCAAATCTCACCACACTGGGCAAGACCCTGAGACAGGAGCACCCTTAGGATTTTGTAAACTATTTTTGGGCCAAGGGTCTTTATGACTATTGTGTTTAAATTACCACAACTAAATGGATCTGTTTAAATGTTCCTGATATCATTTATACTAGTGGCTTATGCTGGGGTTTATTTTGGTCCCTAGTCTCTTTCCTTTCCTGGGTCCCCTGTTTCAAAAAATATTTGGGATCCCAGTATGGTTGGGAAAGTTTCAACAAAACTAGAATCTTAATCATGTTAAAACAAAGAAATGTCAGGAACATTTCTCTTCATGTGGCTTGTTGAAATATTATTTTAAAGTCAAACTGAACTGCTGTTTCTGTAGCTTGTAGACACACTGACCCTGTAAAGTTAGGAGCTGGCTGTATGCCCTGCTGTGACATGGTAAACATTTAAACACAGAAATGACTTCAGGCATGTGAGTAGTGCTCTGGAGATCTGCAGGGTTACTCAGCCAACCAAGTGATTGCTGAATTTGGATTCAAGCCATTAGCTGGGATGCAGCTGCAGTAGCAGAAGTAGTCCTAATGGGGGGATTTAAATGGGATTAAGAAAAATTCAATTTAAATTGACTGAAAATTCAAATGGTAAGATGAACTGTGGGAAGGAAACAACTTTCAAAGGGGGGAAGTAATGTCACTTGGAGAAGAGCTGTTAAAGGCTGAGGTTGCTATGTTGCAGAGATAGTTGATGTACTCTGTTGCCATACTCCCTATAATATCAGAGGACTTTACATTCATTTATATATTTTAGCCTCACAACACTCTTGTGAGGTAGGGGAGCACCCATGGGGTGCGTCCATAGGAGTGCACACGTGCATTTTGCAGCATCTCAAAGCCCTTTGAAACGCTGCAAGAGGCAAGTGCAGGAACAAGAAAACATTCCGTGTGCTACAAATTTGCAGCGTAGGGGCAAAATTAGACCCCTGGGTATCCTGGGTTAAAAAAAAAACTGCAGTGGAAAAAAAGTGGGGTAGGGCACAGTCCCCTGAGGCAACCAAAGACTGGGTCCTCTACAGAGACGCTCTGGTAGCAGCCAAATCATCTCTATGGCTGGCCTTTGCCCTGGTGCTGAAGCACGCTGCCTGCCTGTGCAGGGAAGGCAGTGTGCCAGCTGCAGGGAGCTGGACCCAAACTCCAGTGCTGATAAGTGGTGGGAGCAGGGCTGGAAGAGGGGGGAGGGGACCATGGGGGGGACCCCTGTCAGCCCCACCTGATCTGCCAGCCCCGCTGATCACTGCCCTGCCCAGCCCCAGCCTGCCCCCCACACTCCCCCATCACTGCCCCATCTGGCCCCATCCCCCGCCTGGCCCCATCTCCTGAACCCCTCCATCACTGCTGCCCCCCGGCCAGTTGGGGCCAGGAGGACATGCTTTGACAGTTCAAAGCAGACCACCACACCTGGAACATCCTCTGGGAGATAGCTGCCCAGGTGGCTGGGCAGGGGCACACATGGCAGTAGTGCTGCACGAAAGCCAACTTTGCAGCCACAGTCCACTGCCAGCTGGTGCAGAGGGGCAGATGCCTCTACTGGCTCTGCAGTCCCCATCCGGGTCTGGCAGGTGTGCAGCAGGTCACAGCCAGGCAGCAGCCCCCACTGCCAGACTGCTGCAGTGGGTAGCGGGTGCAAGGAACTCTCAGGGCTGCTTCAGCAGTCCAGCTGGCACAAGGGGTAGTGTCCCCAGGTACCAATTGGCTGGGCCCCAAAAGCTCCTGCAAGCAAGTAGCCCTGACCTACTTGACAGGGCAGCTTTTTGTACTGATGGGGCCAGGACAGGGCAGCTTTTTATACTGCTGGGGACAGCACAGGTGCCAGCCCCAGGCTCTAGCTCCCCCTGGCTGCAGATCCAAAAGGAGCCAGGCAGAGTTATTTTGCCCCAAGTGGCCCAGTTTGCCCCACACCAGAGTGCATGTCCGGGGATGTGCACTGAGGCAGAAAGCCTCAGCTCAAATTTGCACTGCTTCTATTTGAGCTGCTGCGAGTGCACATACCTGTATGTGTGGATGGTGCTCCTTAAATATGCTCCAATACCACTAACCACAGGTATTCACATATCAGGGTCAGCCCTGTTTCAATTAAGAAAATAGCTTAAACAATCACAAAATGTTCTTGCTTTTTGTTTTGTGAAGGGAAACTCAGTAGACTTTTGCAAAGCGGCTAGTATTCACTTTGGATTCATATTTGGCCGATTCAGGGGACAGTGATTCGATTAGGTGATTTGAATCACTGTCCTGATTCAATTTGGCTGAATCTGATTTGGAGATTTGGCTGTTGCTGAATCTCTGAATCAGCCAGGCCAGGCCCATGCCCTGCCCCTCTCCCAGCCCGGGAATGGCCGCCCCAGCTCCCGTCACTTGGGGAATAAAGCCCCAGATCAGCAGGTGCTGCCGGGCAGGGGGCACAATCCCCAATGCCCCACATTGCCCCACACTGCATGGGGGACTCTGTACGAGCCCCCCCAACCCTCCTTCGCTCCCCTAGCACCCACACAGGTACCCAGCCCAGGCCAGCTCCGGCCCTTTAAGAACCTCCCCCCCGCAAAAAAACCCTGAACTCACCACTCCTGCCAGGAGAGGGGCAATCCCCACTGCCCCCCATTGCCCTGTGCCATGTGGGGGGTTCTGCATGAGCCCACAACCCCCCGAGGCCGCTGCAGGTGTGGTGAGTCATGGGGGTTTTCTCAGCTTTTTTTTCTAAAAGGGCTGGAGCTGTCCTGGGTGAGGCAGCCATGGGGGTCTGGGGGAGCAAGGGGAGGGTCGGGGGGGCTCGTGCAGAGCCCCTCATGCGGCGGGTGGCAGTGGGGATCACCTCCCCCCTGGCCCAGCAGCACCCGGTGAGCACTGGGGCTTTTTTTTTTAAGTACCGGAAGCTGGGGCAGGCAGGGTCAGCCATGGTCCCCTCCACCAGCCCCCGCTCCCCTGCCCCTAGTACCTACCAGTTTGGAGTCAGCTGCAGCTCCCTGCTGCAGCCACTGGGGACTGTCCAAATCATCAAAGCTCTCCAAATCTTTTCCAAAGATTCGGAGAGCTTTGAATCGATTCAGACCTTTAGATCGGTTCCCTGATTCAATTCTGATTCAGAGATTCGGCCACCGAATTGGGTTGAATCTCTTCCGAATTAAATCACCAACCGAAGCTTCGCACAGCCCTAATACTCAGGTCATGTTTCTAGCTTTTCTTTGGGTTGTATTCCCCTCAAAAAACTGTTTTCTTCTCATAAACAGTGAGATTTTTTACAAATCACCAGACTACAGGCGTTGGAGCTTGGAACAAGACAGTGAAAAACTTTTGCAGGACTCACCATTAAAATGCACCTGCCTTTTTGTCTCTGTGCTCCTGTTTAAGTGTGTTGTTTCCAGTTGGCAGATAGACCCTCCCTGGGGCAAAAGTGTTAAAAGGTTTTTGAAAATGTTCTGGAGGAGCAAAACTGGCAAATGTTTCAGGTGCTTCTTGGTGCTGCAGTTAGGCTCTTTCTGAGACAAACTATTCTGAACTAATAAGAAATTGCTTAGTATTTCCTTAAAGAAAGCTCTGGGGAAAATCCCCTGTAGCTCTGATTCCATAGGCTGGGCAGGATGCCTGAGGTCCCACCAACCTCATAAAAACCAGTGAAACGAGAGAAAGAATCACAAAGTTGCAGAGAGTTAGGACAGAAGCTGAACAGGGAAATCCACCTGGGCTGATGAGATAAAGCGTGTCTGGAGCACAGATCCTCATAGGAAGATGGGAAACTGGGTGGTGAACCATTGGTTTCCAGCTCTGGTGATCGTAAGTGCTTCTTTACATACAACCAGCTAGGTATTCTTTGTGGACCAGGACTATAGGAAGAATGTGTTTTTAAAAAAAGAAGTCTTGTGTGAGCTGGTCATGGAGAAATAGCAGATACTGCTAATTTTTCATGGTCTGCAAGAAGATTTACTGAATAAAATAGTTTTATGAAGGTATAAAAGGTTAGGTCTTGCCTGATTCATGGCACCATTAAGTATGTTTTTCATTTTAATCATGGGACTTTAGTAGCTAAGCAGGTACTTAAGCTCAGTCCTGAATCACTGCTTAACAAGCTTCCATGTTTGAGGTCTTCTCTAAAAAAGGGATAAATAGCTTGGGTGTTTAGACATGATCTGAATCTTGAAACAGGGATGAAAGGGCAATGTCATCTATGGTGAAATTTCTTTGACTTACATCAGGGATAAATTTGGTCTGCGGTCTTTTGGATTTAGATTAAAAACAGGAATTTGTCTTTATATTGAAACTATGTGATGAAAATTGATGATACTTATTACATAGCCATAACATAATTCCCAATTTTTACCTCGTTTTGTGTCAGGGAAGCTTAAGTAATCAGACAATGAATTTCTCAGATTCTTTTAAATTTAAAAAATAAGCAAATCTCGATTTCTACAATATGAACAAATAGCAAATAGAACTGAGCAAATACAGTAAAAGTTCTGTTAACTGGCATCTTACAAGCTGACATGCTCTACTAACCAGCATGCTGGCTTGTAAGATAAAGTGAACCCGGAAGTGCCCGCCATGGTACTTCCGGTTTCTCTGAGCCCACATGGCCCGGGGCAAAGCAGCCTGTGCTGCGGAGCCCCCACGGCCCAGGGGCATAACAGGCTGTGTGGGGCTGTGCGGGCCCGCCTCCCTGTCCCATGGGGCCTGCAGGGCCCACAGGAGGGGCAGCGGGAGGGGCAGCGATCCCGTGGGAGGGGCGGAGGGACACCCCAGACGCAGTGGGAGAAGTGGTGACCGGGGCCACTCAATATTTGGTTATCTGGCATCCCCCATTCCCAGGGGATGTCGGATAACAGAGCTTTTACTGTAGTAGGATTTCTATCACATAGGAAATTCCAATTTTCAGCTGACATCAGGCCAGAATATCAAAATATTTTTTAATGGGAGGAAAAGTTCTCAATATTTTTTACTTCAAGTTTATATTTTTATCAAAACAGTTCTCATACACACACACATATATAGGTGAATTGAACTGAATCAAAACATTTCATCTGAGTAAGTCTCATATGCCATGGTATCTCACAGGCCTGGTTTAGGTGCTTTAGGTCCTCATTCTTCTCTAAGGGCTAGGCTTTCTAGCTAGATTCATGTCTCATCTATATTGCTCACGCTGAAGACTTCAGTTCAATCCACCCAAATGTTTGTGTCTGTGTTACCATGACCCAAAACAAATTTTCTTGAAAGAAAATTGTTTGCCTGACAAAAAATGATTTTCCTGAGAGAAAATTGCAAAATTATAGGGAAAAAATGTGATTTTTTAGAAATTTTCTCCATTTTCTGGTAAATACTGATTTTACAAGAAAAAATTCAACACACTGTACTTAAAACAAACAGTGCTACAAATAGCTGACATTGGAAATGTACACATCGCTTGGTGCTGAGCAACTGCCTAAGTTGCTCACTGTTGTTTTTGTGTCCTGACTGGACAAGTGAAAAAGTAGCCACCCGCTGGATCTCTACAAGGTGCATTCGCAGTGTGCTGTACAATCTGAAATGTGGCTTTGGGAAGTGCTGATGTTTCAAATTTGATTCTTGGGAGTGTTTGCTCTTTTAAACCTGACTTGTTTGTGGAAAGCAAAAACAATTGAGGGGCAACCAGTCTGGTTTCTAATTTGAATTAATATTCACAGATTTTTTTAAGATTCTTAGCTCAACTTTTATTATATTTAAGGATTTCTTCAAAGAAAAATGACAAAGAACATTCTCCTCAGTAGTAACCCCACTGCTGTGTTAAATATTTTCTCTTTTTCCTTTTCCTCATTCTTGATTGCTACACTGCAATCCCCTAGCTATTTCATAAACTTTCACCTGCTTTTCTGTTTATTCCCCACCTATGGTTATGATTTTCTTGCTGTAGCATTGCAGTGCTTGCTATGGAAAATAGCCCATAGCCTTTGCTGTCAAGCAACAGAAAAGACTTGTTCTTAAAGCAGGTCCACATACCCAGCCAGACCCCTGCTTCTTCACAGAGCCTGAGGAGCACATTTTGTCTGGCACTAGTGGTTGCACTGAACTTAACAAGACTTCTCCATGGGCCGTGACCCAAAAGTGGGTCACAAGAATATATGAAAGGGTCGCAAACAAACTTTAAGAATGGATTCTCCTTCTCAGGAGAAAAATGTGGGAAACTGGCTTTTCCCTTGCAAGCTGGCAGAGTCCAGGGGGGTCTGGGGCCTGAGGGCAGTGGGTTGGGAGTGTGGGGCACTGGGTCAGGACTAACCACTGATGTTTACAAAAGGGCCCTGATACAAAAAGGGTGGAGAACCACTAGTTTAAGTTGTGCACTTGTTTAAGTTCCTTCTTGACCCCTTGCTGAAGGGCCCAAGTTAATGCCTTGTTAATGCCTCATTAATGCCTAGTAAAATTAGGGGAAGGTTTGCTTTCTTTAGGCCTGCTGAATTTGGCTTGAGCAAAGTAATGAACAATAATTGTTATAGCAAGGAAGCTTTCTTTAAAAAAAATACATTGTTTTTATTATTTCTCATCAGGCTGATGGGTAGCATAAAGGTATCTCACCAACAGTAACTAACTTGTGTGTTTTGGTAAGATTTTTTTATAAGGCTTAGATCCACAAAGGTACACAGGTGCCAAGCTCCTAGGCAGATACCTAATGCCTTTGAAGACTGAGCTTTAATGCTTCCATTCTGTTTTCCTTTGACCCTGCAGTTTCCCACGCAGAGACTTCACTGGGAACATTTGAATTCCAGTGAGAGATAATCAAATATTAATTCCCCTTAATTATATAGTAACTTGTAAGTATTTACAGGTTCATGCCAATTATTGTGTAACTACCTGCATTACTAAACAACATAAATAGTGATGCAAAATGAAAAGGGTGATCTTCAACTTCTAGTAACGATAGGGGGAGGATCAGATTTCTGTTCCCAGTTATGGTGGTGAAAAGGCAGTTCTTGCACCAGAGCTAGTAAGGTTACATCTAAGTCACAGAAAACAGAATTTGGCCCAGGCTGATCCTGCAGCTGCTTCTGTGTGAATAAACCTTGCACCCAGGAGATGGGCTCTGCATAGGCCCAGGAGATTGCCTGTGTGAAGCCAGGGACAGGATCTATATGTAATTTAAGCAGCCAGCAGTCACTACCAAAGCACAGAGATTTGATGCAGGATTTGTCCCTGGGGGATTTCTGCTTGCTTAAGGTACTAAGTGAAGTTAGTACTTTGGGCAGGTGCAGCCCTGAGAGCATGGCAGATAGAAGCCCCCGGGCATATTCACAGAGCAGGGACCAGTTGAATACTGGCAGTGGCTCCTGCCCAACAGCTTCTGCCTAGCCGTGCTGTGCCAGGACTCAGGGATGAGAGCAGAAATCAGTCTCTGTGACCTGTTCAGCTCTTGTTCTTTCTGCGTAGACAGAGACTACAAACACGAGCAAGTGCCACTGCCTGGGGAGAGTGGAGTGGTTATGAGGTGGGAACTAAGTTTAAAGCAAGCAGTTCCTCTCATCTAGACCTGCCAACAGCTCTCAGCTGGCCACAGTGTCTGTTACTGACTGTATCTGATGGGCTGGAAGGGAGCAGTGTGCACTGCACTGTCCACAAAGGATGGACACATATGTGTACCCACCCCTGCCTTTCCCAAAAATACTGGACAGCACTGCTTCATTCTGGTTGTCAACTAAAGCCCAGAGCCAGATTACAGCCTGTCTGGGCCCTATGGGACAAGCATCAGCATCAGCTGGACTTTCTATTGGTTCAACCACTGCTCTAACAGAGGCTACCCACCCTAGGTCACAGGGAAATGAGCAATGGAGGCAGGGCCTTACTCCATTCACTTCCAACCAGAGTAGTCCTAGACAGGCCATGGGAACTTGCCTGCCCTCCCATGGTTTGCCAACATAAGGAACATGTGGGAATGAAAGTTCCTTCAGCCTGGTGAGTTCTGCATCCTCATATGAACTCAGCATCCCACTCCCCATGACTCAATAGGAGCTACGAACATTTGTGCTTCAGAAAATCAGGCTCTTAACCATGTGGAAGCTGCAGGGCTGACTCTTTCTCAGAGAAAATCAGCGTGGTGCTGAGCATTCACACCTCCTGTTGGTTTCAGGGGAGCCACTGGAATGCAGCGCCTCAAAAATCAGGCACAAGGTTTCTCAAACAGTGGCGCTAGCATCAGTGGGTTGGTCTGACATTGGTGCTGTGAGTGACTGACTGCTGCATACCTAGGGGCAGTGATTACGACCTGCAGCTCGTACAAACTGGCACTAGCTGTATTGCCCTTAAAGGAGCTTCCTGCCCTTCCCTGTGGAGGATCTGGCTCTCATGATTGTAATGTTACATAAGGGCTTTCCTTTAAGGTTCAATGACTTTTTTGTTTTCACTCCCTCCCCCCCACTCACACACACTTCACTTTGGGGAGATTGTCTCCTATGTACTATAACTTCTCTTCCCCCTTCTCTAGGCTGCTTGGCTGGGCATCAACATTTTCCTGTTTGTGTATTATTTCCTGATGTTTGACATGGATGAGAAGTTCTGCTACACCAGAGAGATCCTTGGGGTAAGGATCTCTCTTCTCTTCCTCTCCTTCCTTCTTTATCTCTTCCTTCCTTTCCCCTGCTGAGCACTTCAAAATCAGCAGGGAGTTTGTTTCCCACTCCAGGGGCAGGAGACCTTCCCCGTCACAGTCCCACTTCAGGCTGGAAATAGGCCATACCTTGCCTTACCCTCCAGGAAAACAGGGAAGCTATTCCTAGGATCCCATTGTAGCCAGTCTGCTGCCATGCACAGGAGTACAGCCCTCAGGGGCAGAGCACCTACTGCAGTTGAAGCAGGAGAGAACAGAAAAATCTGCCTTTACCCTAGATGTGTGCAGAGCCTTAGGCCCCAGGATTACAGCCAAATGCAGACAGTTGTGTGCAGTGACAGCAGTTACTTGTGGGCAACCAATGCGTGAAGCTGGTGCTGTCCTTGGATGCCCTTACTCACTTTTTGTCCTTCTCCAGTCAGCCCTAGCATGGGCCCGGGCATCTGCAAAATGCCTGAACTTCAACAGCATGCTGATCCTGTTACCAGTGTGTCGCAACCTGCTCTCCTTTCTGAGAGGCGCCTGTTCGGTGAGTGACGGGGCTTCCCTACCCTGCCTCCTTGCCCTGCAAGCACACCTGTTCCCGAGGGAAGAAGTGGCTGGGGTAAAACCTAGCTTTGCAAGCACTCATTGCCATTCAGATCCAGATCCAAGCCCACATGTGAGATCACATAGTTTTATAGTTTCATAGTTGGTAGGTTTGGAAGGGGACCTGAGCAGATCATCAAGTCCGACCCCCTGCCATGGGCAGGAAAGGATGCTGGGGTCAAATGACCCCGGCTAGGTGGTTGTCTAGCCCCCTTTTGAAGACTCCCAGGGTAGGAGTGAGCACCACTTCCCTTGGAAGTTGGTTTCAGGTCCTAGCTGCCCTGACTGTGAAGCAGTGCCTCCTGTTATATAGCCTGAATCTACTCTCAGTCAACTTACGGCTGTTATTCCTCATTACTCCTGGTAGTTCTTGGGGTAACAGGGGCTCTCCCATTGCCTGCTGGTCCCCCTTGCAGACTGCCACCAGATCCCCTCTCAGCCTTCTCTTGTGGAGGCTGAACAGGTTCAGGTCCCATAGCCTCCCCTCATAGGGCCTGCCTTGCTGCTCCCTGATCATGCAACTGGCCCTCCTCTGGACCCTCTCGATGCTGGCCACATCCCTCTTGAAGTGCGGTGCCCAGAACTAGATGCAGTACTCCAACTGCAGCCTGACTAATGTTGCATAGAGGGAGAGGATCACCTCCTTGGACCTGCCTGTGATGCATCTATGGATGCATGACAAGGTGCAGTTAGCCTTCCTGACTGAATCCCCACATTGTCAGCCATATTCATCTTGGAGTCAATAATGACTCCAAGAACCTTTTCTGCCTCTGTGCTGATGAGAAGGGAGTTCCCCAGTGTGTAGGTATGCTGCTGGTTCTTCCTCCCCAGGTGCATCACCTTGCACTTGTCAGTGTTGAAACCCATCCTGTTCTCATCCACCCACCCGTAACCTGTCCAGATCTAATTGCAGCCTGTCCCTCTCTTCTAAGGTGCCCACTTCTCCCCACATATTAGTGTCACCCATGAATTTGAACAAGGTGCTTTTCACCCCCTCGTCCAAGTTGCTGATGAAGAGGTTGAACAGTGCGGGCCCAAGGACCAAGCCCTGGGGGACCCCACTGCCCATGTCCCTCCAGGTCGAAAATGACCCGTCCACCACCACTCTCTGGGTGTGGCCCTCCAGCCAATTAGTGACCCATCTGACCATGTAGGCATGGACACCACAGTCACCTAACTTTTTAATGAGAATGGGGTGAGAGATAGTGGCTCCAGAATATTTTTACTGCCCCCAGGGTCAGCTCTGAACATCCTGAGGGATTTCTGCTCTGGTTTTCAATTGCTGAACTACCCTCATGACTGGGACAAGATGTGCTGGTAGCCCTCTTTGGTGCACACAGCAGGGGAACTCTGTGTGCATCAAACATCTCCCAAGGATGCCAGGGGAGGAGGAAAGGGAAGAGGCCAGTGCTCCCAGCTTCCCCACAAGCCCTGGCATCTACTTGATTTACTCACTGCCACTCCCAGTGCTGCTTCTTCCCTCTGGATAGACTAGAGCAGTGATTCTCAACTATTTTTGTATCAGGACCCATCTGTAAATATTGATAGCCAGTGCCGACCCAGTGCCCCTCACTCCCAACTGGCTGCCCCTTGCCCCTAGGCCCCAGCCCCACCCTCCATGTGAGCAGGGGTGGGTGTATGGGGAAGGAGGGCATATGGGGGCCTCAAGCAGCCCCTTGGAGGCTGGAACTCTGCCAGCCCTGGAAGGGAAAAGCCACAGTTTCCTATGTTTTTCTCCTTTAAAGGAGAATCCATTTTTTAAATTTGTTGATCCATTTTTTAAAGTTTGCTCATGACATTTCATATATCCTTGCAACCCACTTTTGGGTTTAGAAATGCTGGACTAGAGGCTGTGTGCCCCTGGCCCTCTCTTCCTAAGACTTTAGCAAACCATGGCTCAACAGGGCCTGTTTGTAGCAGGCCTCCTAGCCCTTCAGCTCCTGCCGCCTTTTCCTTAGTTTAGTAAGGTCTCACATTCTAACCAACTGTCCCTCTCCCTTCCTGGCAGACAGCACCAGGCCTGGCTGGGCTGCAAAAAATGTAATGAGCAAGGAGCTTCAAGGCCCTTGCAGATGGCACCTGGAGTTTGAAGGGAGGTTCCACAATAAGGGGACAACTCAGTGGCATACATACCTAAGCAACGAGACAGGGCACACTGGCTAGGGCAGCTGTCTGGTGACTGGGGACTGATTTTCATACAAAACCAGGGGAATTCTGGTTCCTATGGCTATTCGGTATATAACACAGGTAGACAGGATGCAACAGCTCCATCACACTTGTTAAGAATGCCATGTGTAACCCTGTATACCTCCCTTGGTAGCCACACCCATCAGCAGCGGGCAGTGACTCCAGCTGTCATGTTACACTTAATGCAGTGTTGCTCTACGCTCTGTGAGTCCTGTGTGCAGCAAGCTAGGCATGGAACCACGTGCTCCCTGCTGTGAAATAATGGGCACCCCAGCACCTCACCCCTGTCCACTCCCAACCAATCATTAGCCATGCACCTAAGCCTCTGGGACCTCTGCCCCTGATCTGCCTCTGGCCTAGGAGGCTCCTGCTCCTAGCCTGAGAGCAGCTCTAGCAGGGAGCTATCAGGGGCAGTGGACAGGCCCACTCTTCAGAGGGAGGAAACAGCTGTATCCGATCCCTCCTGTTCTGTGCAAAATGGGCCCATCTGTTTCCCACATGCTCCAGTGAGCAGAAGGGCGGTTCTCTCCCTCCATGTCACTCCAGAGATGTTTCTGGGTCCATCTTCCCTATAGAGGGGCATGGAAATCATAGAGGGGCATGGAGCTGCAGCAATGAAGTCTCATTGCAGCCAGCGCCCTGGGCTGGTGGGGACCAGCTCTGCTCTGCTTGCCCCCAGGGTCTGTTCCCTGGAAGCATCCCTGTTCTTACTGACCCCCTCCCCCCAGTTGTGCAGGCGGACCATGAGGAAGCAGCTGGATCACAACCTCACCTTCCATAAGCTGGTGGCCTACATGCTTGCCATGATGACAGGTAACTTGAGCCCACATGCTGCTGCTACCAACCAGCAGATGCAACAGCTGGTCCAGTCTGAGCACAGGCTGAGCTTGGTCTCCTCTTGGAGAACTTGGCCTGGATTTCGTACACCAGAGACGGGGGCCATTCTGCCTCTTGCATCATTGACTCTGGGTGATGGTCTCCCAGAGAGAAGGTTTCACTTTCTCTCTCTGTGCTGCTCAGCTGTCCACACCATCGCTCACCTGTTTAACTTGGAGCGTTACAATGACAGCCAGCAGGCTGCAGACGGGAGCCTCTCCTCTGTCCTCTCTGACCTGCACCAGGATGGAAGTGACAAGTGGCTAAACCCCATCCACTCCAACAGCACGGTAAGTGCCTGGAGCCTGCGGTGGGAGAAGCAAGATCCTGCCACAAAGCCCAGTGGCATCATTCTGTGTTTTGTTCCTTCCAGATTTAATGCCCCATTCCCACCTCTCACTTTCATACTTATGTCTGCTTCTGTACAGACTCCAGCATACGTGACTTTCACCAGCATCCCAGGCCTGACTGGCGTGATCATCACCGTGGCGCTGATTCTTATGATTACTTCCTCCATGGAGTTCATTCGCAGAAGCTATTTTGAGGTCTTCTGGTACACACACCACCTCTTCATCATCTACTTTGCTGGCCTTGTCATCCATGGCATTGCGTAAGGCACCACCATGAGCTGCATTCCCCCAGAAAGCTCTAGCCTCCTCCCCCTCTGTTCTTTGCTTCCCAGTCAGTCAGCCACCTGCTGCATTCCTACCATCTCCCCTCACTGAACATCTGATTGCCACCCTTGTTACCAAACAGGCATCTGCCTTGTACACACCCACATATATACGCTCACTCTAGTCCAGAATCTGAATGACACACTTCCCTTGCCTCCTGTTCTTCTCAGCTGTTCCCCAGCTATCACATGCTTCCTTTTTGTGGCTGAGCACTTCCCCTTACTTTAGTTGGACAGTGAGGTCTCAAGGTCCCTTTCTGCCCTACTTTTATTCTGATGAGAGCAAAGCAAGGAGGCAGGGCTGGGTCAGGAGAGCTGGACTGACACTTCTGTTCTCTCCCAGTGGTCTTGTTCGAGGGCAGACAGAAGAAAGCCTTAAGAAGTACAGCCCCCAGCACTGCGCACAGTACCTTGTATACAGGGATGGGAGAAGCAGACACCACCACTGTAAGGAACCAGAGTTTGGGGGCATCCCAGCAGAGGTAAGGTCCCTCTGTCCCATGTAGACAGTGGCTAACACAAGGATAGCCTGAGTGAAATAGACCTCTCCCTTCTCCTCCCTGATGGGTATGGAGCATTCCACTGACATGCGTATGGGAGAGATTTTTAACCCTTACTCCTTCCACTTCCTGCTGCTCACCCCTCCCAGTATTGCAAGCTACCTCCTGTCTCCTAGAGAAGCATCTCACGTCAGACCCATCCCAGTCCTGCCATAGCTGCCTGTCTCCATCTGAGTGGGTTTCTAACACTGGTCCTGATGTTCTCATGTCAACCTATACAAGGATATAGCCACAATCTTGGTAGCAAAAGGGACATGTTTCCTAAAAACTATACAGGAGCATTTGATATGAGAACCTCCCTGCAGGGACACCAGGGTCCAGCACCAGAAGGCTACAACTTGAGGCCCATCCTCTCACTACTGCTCACTCTGTCTCCACAGTCCTGGAAGTGGGTGTTGGCACCAATCCTCCTCTATGTTTTTGAGCGTGTCTTACGTTTTTGGCGTTCTCAACAAAGGGTCGTTATAACAAAGGTAAGTGGCTGGCTACATCCCCTACTCCTCAAGGGTATACCGTTTATCTGTCCACCCAACTACAGAACCAAAGAAATAACACTGTTTTTCCCCAGCTATAGAAGGGTATCAAATAGTGGAGTGGCTGGGGGTTTGGGCCTATCAGCCTGGCCTAGCAGGAGTGAGAATGAAAAAGGGGTAGGAGGATTGGTTGTGGGAATGCCTGTTCTCTTCTATTCCAGCAGGATGGGGTAGCACTGGCGGTGGGGAGTTCTCAGTCACTCCAGTCTCAGCCAATAGTGATTAGCAGTGATGTTGCTGTTCTGGGGGCTGAGATGTGCCAACTGTTTCCTAATGTGCCTTTCCCCAGGTTGTCATGCACCCATCTAAAGTACTGGAACTACAGATGCATAAGAAGGGCTTCAACATGGAAGTGGGACAGTACATTTTCATCAACTGTCCTTCTATCTCTGTCCTCGAGTGGCATCCTTTCACCCTGACCTCTGCACCAGAAGACAACTTCTTTTCTGTCCACATCCGGGCAGCAGGGGACTGGACAGAGAATGTAATTGATGCCTTTCAGCAGCAAAAACCAAAAATACCCAGGTAGGCTAGGGTGGCTTTAGGGTCAGGAAGCCAATTAATCTGTACAGTTTTGCTTTGTGGTTCAAAGGTAGGTGGCATCCTTCTGTTACCCAGAGCTTGCCTTATCTTGCCAGGATTGAAGTAGATGGCCCCTTTGGCACAGCCAGTGAAGATGTGTTCCAGTATGAAGTTGCTATGCTGATTGGGGCAGGGATTGGGGTCACACCCTTTGCCTCTGTGCTGAAGTCAATCTGGTATAAGTTCCAACAAGCAGACCAGAGTCTCAAAACCAAGAAGGTAACCATTGTGATGTGGGAAAGGTAGGCCCTATACTTCATTAGGCCTTCCACCCCAGAAGCCTTGTGTGTGTTTCAACTGCATCTCCCCAAGTCAAATACATCCTTGGGTATGTAGCTACAGCCTTCCTGGAGAGTGGATCCTTTTTAACACACACACTCCATCCATCTCTGCTCAACTCCACTGCACAGCTCTGCTACCCTTAGTAAAACATCTCTCTCTCTCTCCCTCCCTCTATCATTGGGTCCCAGATTTATTTCTACTGGCTCTGTCGGGATACGGGTGCATTTGCCTGGTTCAATGATCTGCTTGCGTCACTGGAGCAAGAGATGGAGGAATCTGGCAAAGCAGGCTTCCTGAACTACAGACTCTTTCTCACCGGGTGGAACAATAGCATTGTGAGTCACAAACACATGCATGCTCTCATGGTAGGAGTGGGAAAACAATCTGACACACGAAGCAATGGGAGAGAATGTTGCATCAGAGATGTGGGAGAGCACCATGTTAAAGACTACTGAGATTAAAATGTGTACCAGACAGGGCTTTTACCTCTAACTCACCCACCAGAGCAGCAGTGATGGGGATCCAGGCTTCATGCTGTCTGATAGGTTCCAGACATTGACAGGATGTCTGCCTATACTAATAGTCATCTTCCGTCACTCCAGGCTGGCCATGCAGTGCTCAACTTTGACACTGTCACTGACGTGGTGACAGGCCTGAAACAGAAGACCTTCTTTGGAAGACCCATGTGGAGTAATGAATTCTCTGCAGTGGCCACTGCCCACCCCAAGTGAGTGTCCCAGCATCCCATGGCTTGAGCTGGATGATCTAGAAATGTCCCATTGAACCATCTGGCCGGCTCATACAGTACACCCACCAAGTCTGAATCTACTGCTGCTTCCATAAATTGAGATGCCAAGCAAGGGGGCTTAGGTGCCACATACTCCACACCACCCAGCTGATTGAATTGCCTGAAGGACTGAAGTCATTGTACTATTAAGAGAGGTTTTTTTCAGCCATACAGGTGCTAGCACCTCCACTGACTTCAGGTAGAGTTGTGGCTTGCTCTAAACTTAAGAGACCAGAAATTCTAGGACCTTCAGTTAGACAGTGAAAAAGTTTCCTTGAGGGAAACAATGTGAAGTGAAGCTGCCCTGCACGGTCACACTTATTCCCACCTTCCCTACACAACAGTTATGCCCTCTGGACACTGTAACAAGGCCAGCCTCCATTGAGGTAGAGGTGATGGAGGAAGGGGATGCTGGAGAGAAGTGTAGACCTCAGAGTTCCCTTTAGGTTAATTTGTTGCATTAATATTAACCACTGCAATAGAAATGGTTCTGTATTCCTTTTTACGGGCTGCACCATTCACAGGGTCCATTACTAGGAGGGGTACAAGTTCTAAGGCAGCTGAAGCCCAGAGTCATAAGTTAAACAAATGATTTAGCTTGGGCATTAACAGCCTTCTGTTCCACGCAGGTCTGTGGTGGGTGTATTCTTATGTGGGCCAGAAGCTTTAGCAAAGAGTCTGCAGAAGTGTTGCCATCAGTACTCCACGCTGGACCCCAGGAAGGTCAAATTCTACTTCAACAAGGAGAACTTCTAAGCTGAAAGAAAAATTTGCCTAGCTCTGTGGCACCATGGCCTCATTGGGAGCAATCTGCTGATCCTCCACCTCCATTTTGAGAACTGAACTTGGCTGCAGCTGAGGGCACACCAAGCAATGCTACTGGAAATGCTACCATTCAAACTATGCCTTTCCCACTGTTAAATATGAAGTACATTCAAGATGTGACATGGCATCCCTCCAAGGGACAAGCACTTGAGCTTTACGTACAAATGCTGCCTACTCCCTGTGTGCCCCAATCTTTACAGGCCCTTTTGGGATGAGAGGAGTGGGCCTTCTCCACTCCTAGAGATTGCGCTGCATTGGTTTTGCATGCAAGGAAGCTGAAATTAACTTTCTAATGGACTCTGTTCCCTTTCAAAGTTGATTGTGGCACCAGCACAAAGGCTCATATTGATTATTAAACTTGATTTAAATGCACTGGGATTCTTGGATGTTGGCCATAGGGGAAATGTGCTGGGAGGATGCAGGGTCTTCAGTAACTAATCCAGCACAAGCCGTCAAACACACTCCAATAAGCATTACTGCAAATTATGTCTTTAAAGTTGTAAAAACCTCTCCACCTCTGGCCATAGCATGGGATAAACCCCAACTCCAGAGGCTCATTCTGTCCAATTTAAGAGGCAAACTCTGTCTCCCCATTGGCATGGGGCCTCTGTGCCAGTCTGCAGCACCTGGGATGGGTCTTCAATAAATCTCCCCAAACAGTAGCAAGGGAAGTTGTTTTATACAGTGCTGTTGCTCTTTTACTGACTGGCTCCTTGCTACCAGTTCTCCCACTAAGGGAATTCCTATTTGGCGATACTGTGAACAGAACCCTCAAGTGGCCACTACAGGTAGTCTTCCAGACCTATTCAGTATGACTTGCAAGGAAGCAAACTGCTCAACTGTGTTCAGAATAAAGAGGAAAAAATCTGCCAGGAAAGGCAGACGTCTTAAGTGATATTGCTGTGACAGCAGATCAGCAACGGACAGGAATCAGATATGGAGCCTGCATCTCTCGGGTCACCCACCAAGGCTGGAGGGGCTGAAAGATAAGCTTCCTTCTCAGCCGACAGGAGATCTGGCAGGGCAGGGCTACACTGGTAGAACCTGAGGTAAGGCAGCTCTAGGGCTGCCAACACACAGCATCTCAGTTCATTAAAAGGAAGGCTCAAGGCTACAAACACTTCAATCTGGCAGCTGCAGATCACAACTCCCCTCAAGCATCTGCTGAGTCCCATCAGCCAAACTGTCTCATCTGCCCGCTATCACACAAAACCACTATCTTTAAATGGAAGCTACTACAAAGCATATGAAACAATTTTTCTCTTCTCATTGCTGGGTGAGCTGTGAGGTTTTTAAATCGAGCAAAAGTGATGCAGACATGAGCATCTTACAAAGGACAGGTTGGGGCCCAGTAACATGACCTGAGCAACTGTTCTTATGGAAAAGGATTTATTTACCTTGTGCCCCCGTAGTTTCATTGCCCGAGGAAACCTGTATGAAGCTCAATAGCTTAGGATGTAAACCAGGCACTTCATCCCGCTGTATTGGCCAGGCCAGCCTTAGCGCCCCTTGCCACACACTCCCAGATGACGATTTCAGTGCATTGACCTCCCCTGCTTTCCTGAGTTTCTCCTAGCAAATGTAGCCAGTAATGACAAAATTGCCCCTGGGCTCAGAAAACAGCAGCAGACTGTCCTCGGGGACCATCTCCTCCCTCCACACTGTTTAGCACCTTCATCAATGGTTCATAGATTGTGGCTAAAACAGGCTCAGTGACTTGCAGGAAGTGAAACAAGCGATGATCAACCCTAGAGCCACAACAGGCTGCCAAAGACGACAGAACTTGCTGAACACATCAGACTGAGAGCCCCATGGAGCTTTTCCAGTTCTATAGGTGTTATCTGAGGCAGTCTCAGAGCCCATGGGGTAACATGTAAGGATGGGTGACTGGTACCTCCTGAGTCAGGGCAGCATTTGTCCCCCCAGTGGCACTTCCGGGTTGGTACAATCGGCTGTGGGGGAACTCCCTTCTCCCTCCCCCAGTCGGTGCAATTGGCTGTGGGGTGACTGTGGCAATCACTTCTCTGGCACCCCCACTCCCCAGCCGGCACTCTCAGGGTCCACATGCAACCCTGTGCACCCCCCACATGTTGCCACTACACGTGAGGCACCTGTGGTTGCTGTAATGCTCCCTAGCAGTCACCGATCCTGGCTGGCTCTTGCCCTCACCTCCCAAGGTCCCAACCTGGTTTCTTTCCTTCTATGTCTTGTTGTAAAACATGATGGAGGGAGGCTGCCCTCAGAAGTTGAGAGAGCCTAGGTGCTCTCTTGTGCCCTATGAACCTTAAGGGCTAAATTTGTGGCCCTTTTGCTCCTACAGCCACACTCATGCCTTGCAGATGTCATGAACTAAACAGTTTTGAACCTATCAGTTTTTATCAACAGTCTAGTATTTGGCCTCACCAACTTCTTGATTTTATCTGGTCTCTATCCACTTGGGCTGCTGGGGTCCCAGGTCCCAATCCTTCCTCTTGTGCAATGGGTTCCCTAGCCCAGTCCTGTTTCTGCCCCATATGGCTGTCTCCTGCCCTGGATTCACCCCCTTGAGTTTCCTGTCCAGCCCTCTTGGAGCTGAAATCTCATGCCCCCACCCTCCAGGGCTCTGGGTACCACCCCCAGGGGGCTGCAAATCTTTCCCCTCCAAGACTGGGCTCCCTGCTCCTTTTCTGCCTTTCCTCTCTCTCCCTTTCTCTTGCTATAGGTGCCCTTGCTCAGGGTTACCACCTTCTCCAGCTCCAGCAGCTTGTCCATTGTTTGGACCAGCTCAGATCTCACATGCCTCCCTCAAACGTCTCTTTAAGTGAGACTTCTTAGAACATCCACAAAAAGGGGAAAAAACGGTACACTGTCCCTTTAACCCTGGTAGCCTTGCTCTGGCAGCCTCTGGGCTAGGAAACAAGCTACTTCTCCCCACCCCACCTTTTCTCTGAAGCTTTGTCCAGTGTTACTCTCTCTCAGTCACCATCTTTTTGTGGGAGGGGAAATAAAAGTCCTGTGGCAGCCTGCCTTCCCAGGTGTTGTCCTCCCCCTCTAACGCACTTTCCAGCTCACCCCTATTAACACCTGGGCTGCAGGCCTCACTAGTCCCAGCTGTAACCCCTTCCAGCAGTTAACTAATTGACCATGTGTGTCTCTCTCTGTGGTGGAATGCTTTGGATAGCTGTTTACTCCAGTTCTAACCCCTTAATGGCTTACTGGTTCATGCAGCAGCTATTTTGGCAGGCCTGCCTTCATTCTTTGCATAAAAAGGAGCCCCTTGCTTTGTTACACCATGTACTCAAATCTCCCCTCCCAGTTTATTTTAAACACTGTAAAATATACATAGAAACCACAAATGAACATGGGGGGGTGAGGGGGGTTACGTAAGGCAGGGAGAAGGGGGAGCCCCTCTACCATCCAGTGCCAGGTCAGACAGTGATGGGGAAGCTGCCACATGGATTGCCTTCTTTGTCCCAGAGGTTCTGAAGCCAGCCACTGTGCGCCTTACAAACCCTGCAAGAATAACGGAGGGAGTGAAATCTTGGTCTGAGGAAAGGACAAGAGAGGCCAGCAGGAACTGGACAAGAACAGCATCATCAACACCCCTCCCAGGTACACCTGAGCCACACAACAAAAGCAGGGATACAAGGTGCCTCAGAAGGGCCCTGCTCACAGGAGCCCACTGCACCAAACCCTGACACCACCCATGTCATGTGGGATTCTCCAGAGAACTATGGTAGCATGACCTGCTCTTTCACTGCCCTCTGGCACTGTAACCTCCCACAAAACACTACAGGACAGGACACACCACATGGGTCTCCTGCCCAACAGCTGCAGGAGCACTGGGAGCCTCCCGAGTTGGGGCCACTGGGTAAGTACTGAGCTGCTTTTCTTTCCCCCTCATTGGAGAAAGGCCTATAAAAACCTTCCTGAGCCAGACCAACAGGTGCCCAATCCCCAGAACTGTTGTGGCCAAAGCAAGGGCAACTTCCCTAGGGAAGCTGAGGCAGGTGAGCACTAGGGGCTACATGAGAGACAGCACATACAGCATGGGCAGCACCTTCTGACTCCATGACATACTGCTAGGATTTATTGAGTGATCACAGGGGCAAGCAACTAGCACTAGGGTTTATGCAAGGGAAGGCTAAGGTATGAGCCATGCCCAGGCCACACAGGGAGTCCACACCAGAGGCAACGTGAGGCCATGCCCTGACTTACTCTTGCTTGTGGAGGAAACAGGCAGGTTTACTGAGGAAGCTGCAAGGTCAGGGCTGTGTTAATGCAAGTGCTGGATGAAACTGCCTCAGCTTGTACCCATGTGGAACAGACACCACTGGAGATGCACCAGGGAAAGAAGCTATGCTCCCCTAATACTACTGGGTCTATGAAGCATCCACTCCAGCTAACCCATTCTCCTTCATTCTGTCTACCACACCTTGCCAGCTCCTTTGTTCATTCAACCTGTTCCTCACAGTGCTGCAGTTTCCCCTCAAACTCACCTGTCACGGTGCCCCAGTGGATTTCTGGATCTGCTCTTTTAGAATAAGGATGCTCTGCCTTTGCTCTGGGGGCAGCATGGCAATCTGGTCTGCAGTCAACTGGAGGACTTGCATGATCAGGGCAGCCTGTGGGTAAAGATGGGAGGAACAATCACAGCACCTGCAGCAGCAATTGCCCAGAAAGGAGGAGCACCAAAGAGGAGAGAAGAGACAGCAGGTCCCTGCAGGGGCAGGGAGGGGGGGACAGTACAAAGGCACATGGATAACAGGAAGCGGAAGAAGCACAATTTGCTTTGTACTAAAAGGACTGGCCCACTGACCACAGAAAAAACTTCACAGGCTCCTGGCTTTCTCCTGAAAAGCAGCAGGATAATTAAGTCCCCATTATGAGTTGGCACCAACCCAGAAACTCTTGCACTGGGGATTTTGCACTGCAGCACCAGGGGAAGAGGGTACACAGGGTTTTATTTGCATTGCAGAGGCATTTCCTGCCAGCAGCCCCAGCCCCTTTCCATTTCACATACTCACCTTCTCATGATCTTGAGGGGTGACTTGGTTTTGCCCAGGGCTAAAGCCTCCTGGTTGACCCGCTCCTTGAACCCCTGCCCCTGGCAGGCCTCCACCTTGCATGCCTGCCCCTGGCATGTTGGGAACCTGTGGGGACAGAGATGGGATAGGATGGTCTTCCCTGCTGTACAAAGAGAGCCTGCGGTTGGCTATGTAAATAAAGAATTATGCATCTGTAAGGAAAAAGTAGGTAACAAGAAAAAGACTGATTGAAGTACCCAAGCTAGGACCGAGTACCCCGACGAACAAACTCTGTAGATGCTGGGACATGTCAGCCCTGGGAACAAAGGCTGCAGGACTAGGCAAGGCCTTGGGCTCTCTGGGTTTCTGGTTCTGTGCTGTATTATGAGATATGACTCTACCTCATCATGGGGCTGTGAAGAGAAGGGCAGGTGAGGCTTAAGGTCCCTGAGACATTTTCTGTTGCAGCAGTGAATGGCCTAGGACAGGGGTGGGCAATTATTTGGGCTGAAGGGCCACTTAGGGAGTTTTGGTGAGCTCTCGGGGACCAGGTAAGCACCACCCCCCACCCCCAACAGCTCACCAGAACTCCCTAAATGGTTCTGCCCTGAACAGTCAGGTGGATGGGGAACAGCATCTGAGAGCAAGACAGGTGG